CTAACAATCAACTCTTATTGATAATCATTTCGTTTTCAGTTTTTAATTTCATTTTTACATTGTAAATATATCATATTTTTTATGCAATGATATTCTAGTCTAAGGGAAAGAGAGAGAGAAATTGCGTTAAGTCATACAATATTTTAACAACTAATTTAGTATCGAACTTAAAACAAGTACAAAACATCTTCATTATTCATGTAACAAACTTGATACTCTTAGTTAATAATTAATCAAGTGCTCAACAGTCAGCAAGTTGGATGCATGGAATGTGTCTCTTATCACTCAGCAGCAACCAGCAAGTGCTGTCATAAAATATACAAATGGGTTTTCTCAGTCAAAATACGACAGCCTAGGCAGCCAGCCCTCCATTGTTGGCTTTCTTCTAATTTATATTGACAACGACATCATTGACATGGGATATTATACATTAGGACGCCTCTCACCAACTTCTATTTATTTATTTATTTATTTATCTATCTATCTTACTTATTTATATACATTTAATCATACAGAATATTGACAGTAGAGTAATACTGAAGAGACTAAGTTTGTAGATAAAATTTACAAATTAAATTATGTGTCACTAATAGAAAATGAGCACATTTATCTACGCTTAAATAATAATTCAATTATCAATTTTCATGACAGTATATGCTCCTCAACTCACTCAGTCCGTTTCATATTAAAGTTCTCTCATTGGAAGAAGTACATGATATGTATGAATATATGTGAGGTATAGTAATCTTTGTACTAACTATCCTAGAAAATTACACAAATACTCTTAATTTAACAAGGAGAAATCAATTGAAGAATCGAAACTTATTGAATTGAGGAATCAATAACTTAACAATTACACTAATTAGTGGACGAAAATAAATATCCTGCGACAAAACTCCTAGAAAAAGTAAAATCTTGAACGTAATTCAAATATATCTCTTTCTCTACTTCTCACTCGTTACATTACACGATACAATCTAATTCTAGTATCAAAATATTAGTTAAATTGGCCAACAGGTAGAGCAAAAGAGCGAAAAAGTAATTTATTAAGCAATCTTAATACTTGCATTTGAATAAGAAGAGGACAACACAAGGCATATACAGCTAAGCTTGCTTGTAGTTTGAGTTTGAACATTCAAAGTTGCACGGCGCCCAGACCTAACTCGGTTGCTAAACACTAAACAGGTCGACTTTTGATTAAAATTAAGGATCCTTTCGAGTGTTCCTTTCTTCCTTCAAGTTGACTACAAATGAATTTAGATACGAGCAACTGTAACATCACATTATCGGAAATTGACTTAAATCTACGGTTTTGAGTTTTTGTTTTGTTTTTGTGTCCCATTTCTTTTACATTTCTTCTCCCATCCCACCGTCCTTTCACTCTTCTATATCCCACTTTTACTTCATATACTTTCTTTCTATCTCTAGCACAAAAAATAAAAACTAAAATAAAAATGATTATTAGACAGACAATAGTTTTTCTATTAATAAATTGATTGTAAGTTTGTAACTAAATCTATGAGACATTTGATAACCATTTTAGTTTTCTAAAAACTCTTTTGCTAACTACTTTCAAAAAATGAAAACTAAAAACCAAAACTGACAGCCAAATTTTAAAAACTCAAGAAAGTAATTTTCAGTTTTCTTTTCTTTTAAATTAAAAACTAAAAGTAGTAACCGAACGAGTTTCAATTTTCAAAAAAGTGAAATAAATAAACTAAAGGGAAAAACAACCACTTAGAGAACAGTACAATAATATATCAGCAAAGATGTCTGCTTACAAATACGCATTTACAATGCAAGTGTTTCTAATCATTGAAGAAAACCAGCACTTCTCTAGATATAAAGTAAATGAAAACAACAGCGAAAGAGATAGAACTAATTTTAAAGAGATTTTGAAGTCATGCTACTTTGACTCTTCATTTGGTTCATACTTCAGATTGAGTAATAATAAACAGTATCCACTCCCTCTTCGGGGAATCATTAAGAGATTTCACTAGAGAGAATTCTTCTGGATTACCATTCAGTAATATGCGTACAGCCTTCATAACTTGCAGTCTACTAAGTTTTGGTACCTTCAAAACAACATCAAGTACCTCCTTTCCTTCGATTCTCGCTCGCGGTTTCACTTGCCAAAAACTCCTTCACTGACTTTGCCATCTCACCAATTGCATCCGCGATGGGATCTCTTTTCGCTTTCTTTTTTGGATGCGAGTCACTTGTTGAAAAACGCAAGCCCACGTCTCTCTCTCTCTCTCTCACACATGCGCGCGTCCGTGCACGCACATTTCATAAATAGTTAATAAGTAACGCTGAACCTGATTACATGAGATACAAATTAATAAACTCAAGCCCATTTACAGGCCAAATTCCCTTGAATCTTAAGGGTGCTAGCTACAACGTGTAAACCTTTGCATCATAACCATTTTACATGTAGTCCAAGTTTGTATATAATGCTCAACTCTCTCTCTCTCTCTCTCTCTCTCTCTCTCTCATTTGATAATTACTTACAGGTAATGCTAAATCCTAACATTTCATAAATAGATTATGTTAAACACTCATATTTCATACATCGTCAATGAATTACAAACAAGAGTTCAAGATAGAGGGAAAATTAAGCAAAAAGCCATAATTACAGTCAAGCAAGCCCATGAAGCTAAATATTTGACTGACCTGTAGATTGCTGCAGATTAATTGGAGATGGGGATTTGGGGTGTGCGTAAACGGCACACGAATCACCCCGGACCTCTGCGACGGTAAGTTGGGTCCTGTCTAAGGATGGGCAAAATAACTATGGATTTGGGTAACCGCAGTTACCTGTTCATTTAAAGTTCAGAATTACGATTATGAGTAATCATTTAGAAGAACAAATGTTTATGGGTATAATCATTTATCTGTGAAATTTAAATAGTCGGTTATGAGTATTACCCGCAGTTATAATGGGTATCTATTTACCTATTTAATTTAATATATGTAAAATTAAAAAATAAAAATAAAAATCCTAAGTTTTCAATCTCTCTATCGGACTTAGAGTCGCAAACGCCCAAGCACGGCAAGGAACGATAACCTCCATCTTGTTCTTTGATTTGCAAAGGTCGAGATGGGTCTTTTTCCCTTCATGTTTTATCAGACAGTTTCCAAGCATTCCTTATCTGGTGGGCCTTCACCAGCAGGAACTGAAATACATTCATTTTTTGTGGAATCACAGTCCTGTTCTTTTGCTCTGAACCCTTGGATTCTGGAGGATTTAAGCTGCCCACCTCACCTGCAGCTTGTCGTGAGTTCGTATCAGTAGTTATTTCTTTTGTATGTCTTTTTTAGTGATAATGAATTGATTAGACTTTGTGACTGAACGTGGTAAAGTATTAGTATTCGAAAGTGTTTAGTTTCGGAATATTTTGGAGCTTTGAATCATTTCGTATTCAAGATAATGGCTATTTTTTGTTTTTAGAAGTTTTACTTTGTAATCATATATATTATAATTAAAGACTTGCTAGGTAGAAAAATATCATTCGTAAACTATTATTTCAATTATTGGAAATGTATGAGGATTTGAATGATTAAAATAGGAAAATGCATGCTAAAATATACCTATAACGGTGTTTAATTGTCAAAAAACAAAAATTATAACAAATTTTTCTTTTGTAAATTTCAAGTTGTTAAAAAAAAACATGTAAAGAGGTGAAAAAAGGGATAAATGGGTAAAAAAAAAAACAAGATAAATGGGTTCAAAAACGGATAAATGGTTATGATTAAATGAATAACGGTTATGGATATGGTTAACTGTTTATAAACGGTTATAGGTATGAGTATAACCATTTATACAATTACCCATCGGGTATAAACATAAACAGTTATGGGTAAATAAACGATTACCTGCCTGTCATTACCGTTGCACATCCCTAGTCCTGTCTTGCCTCACGATTGGAGGCTGATTAAGCTGTGGAGTTGGCTCAGAAGCAGCTGGTGCTGGATTAACTGTAGGAGAAGATGGTACACTTATCTTGCCATGAAGCATCACGTTGTTGATAGGAGGCACAGGTGCACGTGCTCTAAATGCAGGAGAAGACGGGACACGTCTCTTAACACAAGGTATACAATCCAACTTCAGAGCTGTTACAGAAGAACATCGAAGCCTATCCGCAGGATCAATTCGCATCTGAGAATCCATGGCGAACCGAGTTATTAAGGACCCGAAAGGTAAGTCGCCATGGGTAAAACTTGCAGATCGGCAGATTACACGGAAAATGTAGGTGGGCAGATAAATTGGAGGATTGGTCCCAATAGCATAAAGGAGGCGCGCTCTATCAGGAGTAACTAAAGAAGAAGAAGAGAAACCCAGAGTATCAATATTATCAACCACAATGCAGTTAAGTATTTTGTAGAAGTCAGTGAGACGGGTTACGGAAAAAGTTCTTGCAATCTCTTATAGGGGCCAACTAAGGTAGACCTGACTAAATTCATGTCAAGCTTAGCAACAAGCTGATGATAATCGAAACCGGGTTCATCCAGCTTGAGCCGAGGAAGTTCACGCAACCGGGCAATGCTATTTACGGAGAAATTGAGGGTCTTACCGCGTAGGTAGACATCAAAAGAGTCGGGGAATGGCCGATCAGCAAGGAGAGGAGGGATGTTGGAGTAGAATTCTTGAATAATCTGGATATTAGCAGGCTCTGCACGTCCTACAACGGAGAGCCAACTGCGTGATTCGAAGACAGAGGGAATCCCAAAATCCTCGAAATCGCTCAATAGGTACTCTTGCCAATCGGTCCTCAGAAAACACAGTTGGAAATTTTTCTTGTAGCGATTGAGTGCTTCGGCGTCCTTGAACCTATCACCAACACCACCAACATCCTCATCGGCGTCTCTACCCATCGTCAATAATTGATTACAAAGACAAGATTAAGTAGATTTGAGTGAGAAATAAGTGAGAGGAAATGGCGTTTCAGTTTGCAGAAAATAGGATAGAAGAGGAGTGGGAGGAGAGGCGAGGGAAACTTTTATATAAGCGCGCCACTTGAATTTTGAATTTTCATAAAATATCTCAACCAACTTCCTATTTTACCCTTATTTTCAGTTTTTATTTGTTTATTAGGCGGATTGTCGAGGGCCCGAGCCCCGCGCCCCAGCCAATCGCCTTCCGGATCAAGGCCTGCCATATGCCGTACAATTTGAACCTTGATCTCGAAAAGATCTTCGGCCCTAATTTTGGCGAATTTGATGTCCTCGGCTGTGGGAGAATTCACTTTCGACAAAAGGCGCCACTCAATCGAGCTAACAGAATCTCCTCCTATCACTTCATCCGGGTGATAGGGGAATTTTTCTTCTGGGGGGACCCAATTAGACGGACCTGCTTCCTCCCCCCGGGAAGCGACCGGATTAGCAGGGGCGTTTTGGGGGTGGGGCTGGGCTACTTCTTCGCCTTCCTCATTAGGAGAGGAATCCAAAAAGACGCCTAGATCGAAAGAAGTCCAACCAGAACCCCTACTGCTACCCCCCCGATTTACCGAGGTTTCCCCCGTAGTTTCGGATTCGTTGAATGATTCCAAGAGAACCCGCACGTCAAACGAATCCTCCGTAAAAGAGGAGGGGCCCGCCTGGTCCAAATCTCTCCCGATTGCTTCCCTTACGGGGGCCCGGGCTGTGGATGGCTCGGGGGCGGAATCTCCTTCGTTCTCTGAGGAGAAGTTTAGATATTGACGCCAATTCCCAGAGTTGGATGCGCCGGAAGCTCCGGATGGTGCCATCATGTTCCCTATAGCGGGTGATTCAGCATCAAACAGAGCCAAGATAATAGCCATAAATAGACCTACTTCCCACCCGAGTCGACTAAAGAGGAAGTCGAAGGATCTTCTCAGTAGCATTCCCTTTATCTTCCCTAATAGGAAAGTCGGGTCTACGCCAAGTAGTAAAATAGTGGAATAGAATATGGAGAGTAATGAGAGAATGATTACTAACGAATAGAGAAATTGGCGTACTCTAGGAACACGAGGAAGACGTCTTTTCATGAGAGTCGGTTGTACTTTAACTAGCTCTGCTCGCAGAGCGGCATAACGGAAAAAAAAATGGAAAACTAGAGTAGGATTTGAACCTACGCCCCTTCACTGAACACCAAGCCAATCTCCATTCAAATGGAATCAACTCGATCATTCAAGTGGCATACCTTGAATCTAGCCTACAATCCTTTCTTTCTTCTTTCAATTGATAGTTAGCCGGGTGTATCTTGTTCAAGAAAAAGCTCTTTCTTTTGGTGAATATCCGGATACCCGAAAGTTACAGCTAAAGATGAATGCCCAGAATCGTAGATTTTACGAGCTAAAAAAAAAAACCACAATGAGAGACATTCGATCCCAGGATTAGCTCTATCCCACCTCCAATGAGATGTGTTAAGCATATACTGACTTTTTGTCTTGATTTAAGAGTTAGCCCTACTAAATGGGGCGTAGCGTTGAGCTCAATGAAAGTGTTCCTTCCTTCTCGACGTGAAACTCTCGCCGATGGGACAAGATAAAGATTGCCTCTACGCTTCGCACCTTTTTCTTTAAGAAAGAGGGCAAGATCACTCCTAAAAGCAGCCGCGATCTTATATACGATACCACTAAATGAAACTTCCTTCCTGCTTAAGGCACTAGTTCGGATGGAAACCCTGATCCGGCGGGTGGCCTAGCTCGCTTCCTAGATCCTCTATTTTATCATACAGCCCGGACTTTCCACATGAGCTAGGGGGGCATGGCTAAAATCCTTGCTCCGGTGGATGGAGTTGATCTTAGGCTTTCGCGTATGGCCCTATCAATAAAGATAGATCTTTCCTCGCCCGAAGACCTGCCCTACTAAATGGGGGGAGATTGAATGAGCTATCCTTATGTAGATAGATCGATTGAAGGACCCCTGCTTGTGATCGAGTCTGTCGATAGAGTCATGCCTTGCATAAGTACTCTATTGGAGAAAGGGCAAATCCTTCCTCCCTATTACTTCGTTCTCCTGTCGTATGGATGTCTGTTTTCCCTCCTAAGTCCCTTCAATGCTGTCGCATTGTTGCCCCTTTCGGTATGGTCCTTCATTCAGGCCTTTCCTTATGCACCGATGGTTTCATGATTCGGGTTTATCTTTGAGTTCAATGTTTGCGAGCGTCAAAGCACCTAACCAACCATACCTACACCATGCACCCCTTACTAAAATCAAGCGGTAAGCAGCCCCATTTAGTAGGACATGAACCCGAACTGGTTGTTGAATAAAGGAAGACAGACCTGCTTTTAGTTGGCCTGCTTTGATAAAGTTGTAAACATAAGGAATATACTCTATATATATATTCCAAAGGCTTATAGTTAGTAAGACAGGTGTCAATACCAAATCCTTAATTAGTAGTGGACTACTAGTTAACGCACTACTAAAGCGGAGTATCCAGCATGCGCACATCATGATTTGCCAGAGGATAAAGATAGAATGGAAGAAGCAGGCAAGAATAGATAGAATTTTTTAGGGAAAAGTGCTTTGAGATCAAAGATCTTTCAACGCTCCTACTAAAGAAACTATTTTCTTTTCTTTTTATTTTATTAAACTATTATTTAGAGGGTTTAGAGTACCCAGAAAGAAATGAACAAAACCGAAGTTCAGTGAGCTTATAGTACCCACTGGCGGCGAACGTGGAAGTGACGGAGGAGCAAGAATTATGAGGGAAAGGCGACGTCAGCTCCGGATGCGCAGCTCCTTGGCCATGCGGTTGGATTGAGGCTTCGATCTTCGTTCACCTTCGGATCCGCGCCATCGGCCACCACCAGTTCATGTTCGAGTAGGGGTTCCGGTCTAACTTCGGCCTCCGTCACTGGCTTGGGTTTATCTTCGGGCTCGGGCACCTGTTCTGGTTTAATTTCGGGTCCCGGCGCTAGTGCAGGTTGAGTTTCGAGTTCAGGCGCTGGCTCCGTTTTAGCTTCAGGCTCTAGCACTAGTTCTGATTCGAATTCGGGTTTCGGATTTGTTGTCTGGTCTGGTTCAAGTCCATTCTGGGCGGGGGGTTGTTCGGCGGTGGACATTGCGGGAGATCGAAGGACGGATCGGAATTCGAAGAGTGAACGGATTGTGAAGTTACAAAGAGGTTGGAGAGAGAGGGGGAAGAGAGAGAGACGCTCGGCGGCTATGGACCCCATTGAAGGAGGAGAGTTGTAGATAAAGAAATTAATAAAAAAAATATTTGAAGCTGTCAAATTTGACAATAAGGAGAGAGCTGTCATTTCATGTCATGCCACGTCAGATTTGGCTTATTGGTTGGAAAATATTGTAGCTGTTTTTTTTTATTGTTACGGCTGATTTGATATTTTGACATCTCTTTTAGAGATACTCTAAGATCATCAAAAATGCTAAATTATAATAGTCAAATTACAATTGTTGGGTGATGTGGTAATCTAAAGTCTTATGTCAAATCTTATATTTCTCTAACTAAGTTATCAAATGTTAATTTTTTTTTTTATTAATATAAAGTTTTAAATGGTTGTATTTATTAAAAAAACTGGCATCTATATTTTCTTATGAGTATGGAGCTTTAAATGATTTCTCCATTTTACATCTTTACCATGTAAGCTGGCATCTATATTTTCATTTAACATTCATTAAATTTACAATTTAGTACTACGGTTTAATGACATTCATCTTCGCTTGTAAGTTAGAGGTTTTAGGTATGATTCTCGCTAAAAACAAATTTGAACCACATTATTCCTAGCCCATAATTAGGCTAGGCTCACCCTATTCCCTCTTAGTATAGATAATAGTGTTTGTTAAAAAAAAAAAATCAATGAATTTAGTGAATTGTTCAAGCCAAACCAATCCTAAACATCAACAAGTGTATGGTCATATGTGAATATTGAAACTTTGAAAGTGATTTATGGCTACAAGGAACTTTTCTATTTATACAAGTTGAGATGTACAAGCAGGCTGAGTTCTACCTCCCATGAAAGTGCAAGAACGAACAGCACACCATATGCAGAAGATTCGCGAGAAAGAGGCCGAATTGAAGCGGCAGCTCATTCCACTCATGATTGATGGATTTGTTGTTAGTTGTTCAGTATTGTGTACGTCCTGGGGGTGCTAATGTTTCAGTGGATTTGTGCTACCAGAGTTGGAGGGTAGAGGAAAACGAGGGGTTTGGCAAGGTTAAGGTTCTATAACAATTGGGTGGGTGGCATTGTTGATGTAGCGTCGATATTTGCTAAATATTTATTGATCTGACGAGCAAGGTTAGTCGGGCGGTGAACTAGAGCCTAGCGCCTAGGCGGTTAGGTGGGCGCCTAGACGGATTTAAATAAATCTATTGTATTTCGTGTAAATAAGTGTCTGTTTATACTTAAAATATATATAATTTCATCATAAACTAGAAAATAGAATGACATATATATTATGAAGTATTGAAACATAATGAAAACATAGAGAGCAAACATATAATCATATAATGTGTGTTTATTTAAGTGTTCAATTAGTCTCTTACAATTTATTGGAAACAGTAAAATGCAAAAGAAACGTTATTTATTTTTTATTTAAGTGAGTTGCAACCTAGACGGATCTGGACAGGCTAGACGGGTGCCTAAGTGGTCTAGCGGGGTGCCTCAGCAAGTCTAGGCACCCTTTCTTAATTTTCAATTGCCTAGGCCTTAATCGGGATGGTGATTGGCCGCCTAGCACCTAGACGGCGCTAGACAGGGATTTTTAAAACAGTGTTTAGGAGATATTGGTGTTTATATTTGGTGCAACGATCCTTAATTTTTTGCAAAGTAAACTGGTCAAATGATCTCTTTAATCTTTATGACTTTTGAAAAGCAATACCATTGATGTGCATGGCCTACACATCCGCCAGTTACGGGTACCTAATTTCTTACTTTTTATCCCTTGTTTCGACTTTCTACCACCCCTCCTGAGAGTAATTTGTGGCACCAGCACACTATCACAATGACGTTTCATGTCAATGATATAAGAACGCCGCTCTAGTAATGTCTTATGTCAGTAATAGGATGATAAGTAGAGAAAAACTAACACATTATTATTGATACAAAACGCCACTATGATAGCGTATTTGTGTCATACAAGTCATTTTCAAAAAGCATTGCATATGGATAATTGGATATGGTGCCACCACACCGCAAGTCATGCCTTTGATGCTACAGTTCTAATCATATACAATCATCAGGCCCTGCATGCAGCTTATAAAATGCTTGTTTTCTTCACTGGGACACTAGCTACTTCAAGCTTTCCCTAGCTTTGGAATTCAGAAATCAATGAGCAAACCAAAGCTTCAACTCCTCTTCTTCTCCAGCATCTTCATTGTCTTTCTATGCTTCTTTCATGGGAAATCATCACATCTTGAGCTAGAAGATGACTCTTGGCTTGACGATGAAGATGATGCAGTGAACATGGTTCAGAGCCACCAAAATTCAAGGAGTAGATGTGAGCTCTCTGACGGAAAATGGGTTTACGATCAATCGTACCCTCTTTATGACTCGACTTGTCCATATCTTAGCACTGCAGTGACTTGTCAAAAGAATGGAAGGCCGGATTCCGACTACGAAAAGTGGAGGTGGAAGCCAAACAGCTGCTCCATTCCAAGGTGCCACTCTAAACCAAAACTTAACTAAATAATCTATCCGCATGCATGAACTTAGCCAAGTTTGCTAGAGCAGCTCTCCTCTGCATCCAAGTAATTTAAAATCATTTAGTAATGTGATTTCTTGGTTTTTTGTTTCATTGAAGGTTTGATGCACTAAAATTTCTTGGGAAAATGAGAAGGAAAAGAATAATGCTGGTGGGTGATTCTATAATGAGGAATCAGTGGGAATCTCTAGTGTGCTTGGTACAAGGAGTTGTTCCAACTGGCAGAAAAATAGTGACCTACAATGGTCCTTCTATGGCATTCCATGCAATGGTACAATTATTATTATTATTATTATTTTTTTTTTTAAACTTTAGGTGTTTTTTGATAACCATTTCGTTTTTAATTTTCAGATTTTAGTTTTTTTTTTTTTTTTAAATTGAAAACTCGTTTTATAACTGGTTTCAGTTTTCATTAACTAAATTGTTTTACATTGTTTTGAGGGAAAGCCTCAAAAATTGATCCTTGTTCTCAAATCTTGCATTAACATAAATAGTAATGTAATTCACACGCAGGATTTTGAGACATCAATTGAGTTTTCATGGGCTCCACTCCTAGTGGAGTTGAACAAAGGAGCTGACAAAAAGAGAATTTTGCATTTGGACTTGATAGAAGAGAATGCAAAGTACTGGAGAGGGGTTGATGTTCTTGTGTTTGATTCTGCTCACTGGTGGACTCACTCTGACAAATCGAGTTCGTAAGAGAAAATTCGCATTCATCGAGTCACCTTTCCTCATTTCCTTTGCTTCAGAAGTGGTAGCATTGTGGATGTTCTTAATTATGGTCTTAATTGAAGAGTTCTTCTAACATGTTTCAGGTGGGATTATTACATGGAAGGGCACTCTCTGTATACAAACATTAATCCAATGGTTGCATACCAAAAAGGACTCACTACATGGGCTAAATGGATCGATTTAAACCTAGATCCTCGAAAAACCCGAGTGATTTTTCGAAGCATGTCGCCTAGGCACAACAGGTACATAATATGAGATCTCTAATGCAGTTATGATGCAATTATATAATTCACAGAATTCTTTTATACATACTTCTATGTGTTATTCGCTTTTTCGGCAGAGAAAATGGTTGGAGATGCTATAATCAGAAGCAGCCACTGGCTTACTTCAGTCACCAACATGTTCCTGAGCCATTGATAGTGCTGCAAACTGTATTGAGAAATATGAGATTTCCAGTATATCTTCAGGACATAACTACCATGTCGGCTTTTCGAAGAGACGGGCACCCTTCTGTGTACAGAAGGGCCATGGGGCAAGAAGAGAGGCAGCACCCAGGAGGCTTATCCTCTGACTGCAGCCATTGGTGCCTTCCTGGGGTGCCTGATAGTTGGAATGAGATGTTGAGTGCCTTGCTTTAAGTATGACTTAATTAATTGTGTTGATTAAAAATTTAGGTCGAGTGTGAGAGTAACTCTACTTTTCTGCAGATTAAAGTTTGTAATGCTAATTATGATGTTGTGGTGGGGTGGTTGTAGAACAATGTGAGATGGTCCTCACTCATCATAATATGCTTGGTAGCAAAGTCACTTTGCCTTTTTTGTTCTTTTCTTTATTTGACCAACATTCAAATCTAACCTAAGCTACAGGGAGGGGGATCGAACTTAGGTTTAATGTCTGCATCCATTTAATAATTTATAACCAAATTTCTAGACTACTAGTGCGAGAGGTGAGCAACTAACTAAGCATGCTGGCTGGCTATGATTATAAAGGTTGAAGAACCAAAGTTTTCAATTCAAAAAAGCAAAAGATGTTATCTTCACTTTTGTAGCCATGACCTTGTAATAATTGACATTTATTTAAATTGCTTTTACAGTAAGAAATATTCTTTATCATGTTGAGTACCAGACATGATATTTATACTACAGTATTTCACGAAAATAATCAAACTCAGGTGCAAGAGGCCAGCGTACTGCCTTTGCCAACAGTCCTAAAAAAATATACCTTATTTGAATCATGTATTTCATCAATTTATAATTTGCTCACATAATTATACTACATGCAGTCACCACATTCAAACTAATAAAATCAAATAATAAAAAAAAAAAGAAACTGCAGGTACTCTTCTAGCAAGCTCAATCAATGTGAACCAAGCTTCTTTTTCAACTTAGAAATCTCCTTAGAACTCAATCCAAAAGCTTTTTCCAAGAGCTTATCTTTGATACCGGATCCGAAAATTGCAGCGGGGATTCTCTGGGATCCGGGGTTTTGGCTGTCAAAGCTGCCCAATATAGTTGCCGGAGTATCGCCAACATTCATTTGGAAGTGCAGTAGACCCCTTGGAAACACCATCACCTCACCTTTTTCGATCACTTTGGCGAAAATCCTGTTATTCGTATCAACAAACCCCGAATAAATCTTTCCTTCGAGCACGAATGCAGTCTCCGTGGCTCTCGGGTGAAAATGTGGCACGTTTACTCCACCAACTTTAAAGTCAGCTCGGACAAATGACATGCCGAGTGTGTTGAGTCCTGGAAAGACATTTGAGTTCACCGAAACGCCAGAAAGCCCGGTAGGACCAAACTTTCCAGGAACCTTAATGCCGGAAAATACAAAATCTTCTACAGTTGCGAGGGATGAGTTCTTGCATTGGCTGGAATGGCTTGCAGGCTCTGTGTTGGCTATGCAGAAGTCTTGAACCGGATCCGGATCAGAAGCGAAAATCACATAGCTCATGTTGAAGAGGAGGACAACGAAAAGGACTACCGTTTTGTAAACCATTTTTGGTATAAAAAAATCGAGAATGAAGGAGGAGAACTGGTGTTTCAATATTCAGACATTCAACCACTTTGATCTGAAAATTATGGCATCAAAGAACAAATGTTCTGGCTAGATAAGGAAACAAAACACTAAAATATATTGTTAAAATAATAGAGTTGGTGGTGCTACCTGCCCTTTAGGCCTTTTACATGTACCAACTTTGCTTGGGAATAAAGTGAGAATCGAGGATTAATTAGTTAGCCAGAAATGACTGCATCCACCAACATGTAATTTGATTTTTCTTCTTGTTTCTGGTGGAGATTAGAGTTGGTTCTAGTGGGGGGATGACCTGTGCCTACGGCTCTCATTATCATTAAAGTTTGGTCTTATTAGCTTAGCACAAATAACTATCCTAAAAATTCTACTATGCTCCGGTTAGATCTTTGCTCATTGGATCCTTGTCTAAAGATCTAATAGCCGAAAATTCTGACATAAAAGATACACCGGAACATAGGAGAGAATCCACACTTAGCAACAAGTAGCGGATCCACCAAGAGGTCAACGTGGTCAATTGACCCATTGGTTGTCTGGGTTGTAACCAATTCGTGCACATACGGACAAAATGCATGAGTGAGACTTGACATGATCTAGCTTGTCAACATCAAACGATAGAATTTTATGTTGATATCAATCGACAGACTCGCTCAAAAGTTGTGGGCATCTCTATGACACCTGCACACCATAGCTTTGCAAATGATTATGGCCTATCAACTGCTTGACGAAATGCCACATTGACAAATTTACGTGTAGTTTCCGGCCAAAAAATGGCACCAACTTTTTCCTTACTGACCCCCTCTTCCTTCCCAAGAAATTTTCCTGAACTTGCCACTGTAAGCAACCAAAGAAAGAATAAAAAACTCGCAGACTTTTACATAATCTCGTGTATTCCTCTCCTCTGTCTTGACCTGTACCTGCTACTCTTAAAACAAGATGGCATTTTTAGTGCCTTGAAGGCAATTTCACTTTCGAGTTACCTGGCCTAGAACACAGTTGTTATCACTTCTTAGGTGCGTACATTATATACGGTGGCTTATGACATGATTGGAAGCTAATTGTGTGTTTTATTTTTGTTTTTATTTTTATTTTTTATACAAGCGAAAGTGGAGCAGAAAATCAATTTCTTGGCCTACCAAAAATGTTGTTCTCACTTTTTAGGTGCTATGGAGTGGACTACATATGGTGGTTTACGACATGGTAGGTAGCTAATTCTGTTTTATTTTTCATTTTTATACAAGCGATAATTGAAAAGAAAAGATTCGAACAAGACCACAAAAGAAGCTAAAAAGTAACATCCGCGTGTTTTCAGTCTTGGGGAAAATAACATCCGCGTGTTTTGAATTATGCTTTAAAAGACCGAGTTTCGATTTGTAAGACGTTTTACTAAAAAGCTTGTTCGAAGCTTTAATACGAAATTATCAAAAATAGAAAGAAAAAAAACGTCTTAAATCATTAACCATGTCTTTGCTGCGTAGACACATAGAAGGCTGAATACATCAATTAAAAGGAGAAAAAGTTCATATTCGAACTGCTTGATCACCACTCGACAAGGCGTCGGGCGGAAGACAAATGCATACCAACATTTATATAAATCATAGGAATCACTGGATGCTCATACAGAAAATCCCCCATGCTGCAGCAACATTAACTCAAAATCTCGAAAACTAGCGCATCAGCAAGTCACTTTGAGGTGACTATTTGCTACAGTTTGCTTTACGAACAAATGCAGTTTATCCAGGTATTAGTAACTATCTATATCTGTTTCTGGCCTCCGGATGTAGTAACGCAAACAGTTCACCAACACCTGAAAATTCAAAAAAATTCTTATAACAGATAGTGCACAAGGTTCTTACGATGCAAAACCCGAATTTCTTTTTTTCGGTTATAGCAGAATTCAAATTAATAAACCCGAAACTCTAAGGTAATCAACAGCTCTCTCAACGACGATTGGAGCTATAAATATTGGTTAAATCGGAAGGTCACACAATCTGAATTGGCAAGACAAAACCAAATCAATTACCTGAGACAAGGAACTGTTCAATGCTGCCCCTCTGTAGCTAACATGAAATTTATCTTTGGCTACCAACCCCTATAAGACGAGAGAAGAAAGTTAACCACGGGTAAATGGGAGGAAAGGAGGAGAGAAAGCAATTAGGGAAGGGCATACTTCTGTATCAATCTCAGCTGATTCCACGTCGATATTAACATCAGCAATGATTTTTATGATTTCTCCTAGCAACCCAGGTCGATCTGCTGTCTCTATGTAAAGCAAGCTGGTGATATGGATAATATAAATGCATGAGCAAATCTAAATCAAACAACCATCACGAGAAACAAATGTAATGAAAGCTTAGGGATGAGGAGAGGTTTCTTCATGTGTCCAGAACACGAGCCAGTAATATAAGCGGAGAGACGTTTTTTTTAAGTGCATCTCCGCTTGCATTATGATATGTGGTGTACCAGCCCGCGTTCCATATTGCGGGAACACTGAAACGGAAATAGAAGATAACAAATGAAATTGTAATGCTAAATGCTATTCTCAATTATATGTTGCAAACCTCTTCTTAGGTCCATCTTCCTTCACATGTATATGAGTTGCAATATCCACATCAAGCTGCAATCAATAATATCAGTATATTACAAACAAGTTTGTCATAAAAAAGGGCATAAAAACATGTATGAACTAAAAGCGTCTCAACAATAAAATCATACTTGACTGCAGTGAAGTAAAACAAACTTAATTATAGTGGAAATGTTTTGATTCTTCGACACAAAAACTAAATACTGGCTGCAAAGCTTTTAGTACTAAAATGAAGTTGCTTGCACATAATTGAGAACAAAGCAAGTTACAGAACTTAAAGAGAGAGAGAGAGAGAGAGAGAGAGAGAGAGAGAGATCCTATCTTTCTCATCATATTAAGCATAAGAAAACGCAAAGTGAGATGACTAAAAGTGATCCTGGCTTTTCTCTTATGAAAAACACAAAGTGAAGAAAATACAAGGTGAAATGACTACAAGTCCAACAGCTAATACAACAATACCAAACAAAATCATATAATACAATCAGCACACTCCCTACAAAAAAGACTAAAAAATTAGTCCACTTGGAGAGAGAGAGTGGGCAAACAAAAAACAAAGCACTTTTTTGGCAACAAGACCTCGAACATATTTTATTATTAAGATTCATCTTGAAAAATAAATAAAACCACAAAAAAGGATTCAACTTCTTTTCAGCCTTAAAGGAATCATATGAAGCCATTGAGACAACAACTGATGACAAGCTAACTACAATATAGCATGTAGATTTTTCTGTGTGGTCCAGATTCAATTTGGCCCAATAGAGGAGATAGATAGGCTATGGAAGCACAATATTTCCAACCCTGTGACTATTATGGCATCAGAGCAAAAGCCAAGAGTGACCCGCAGGACAGTCCTATAATTGAGTTTCATTTGGACATACACCGTTCAGCACCGGAAGGTAAGCCCAAAAGAGGGACATCCACGGTAGAGACGAACAAATAAGAACTGTAAAACAGGCATAGAGCTGAAAAAGTTATGATCCTAAGGCTAAAAGGTTAAGAACATCACCTTCTTCTCTGGAGCTTTTATTCCAAATGCTTCACCCATTGCTAGATGCTGACTAGATTCCTATAGTCAAGCAGAAAGTTATCAAATCAAATTGAAGACAACGAATCATTTGACAACAATTTAAAAATACAATGAACTGTCTCACACTTCACATAAAATATTATGATTGAGCATTCTTACTGGATGATACTTCAAAAGATTGTTGATGATGGTAAGTCGAATTCTCTCTAACATATCAGGATCTTCAACTTTGCGCCCGGTGTCCCTAGCATTCGCAAAAACAATTTGTAAATGCTAAAAACTTGCATTACAAATCTAGAGAGTATTTGTTTTATAGGTGGTACAACAAATTAAGAGTGACAATTACAGACCTGTACAGCAAAACACATCAAAATTTTGAACATCTGTAGATTATGTACACATGTATTGGAAACTAACTGTAAACACACCGAGCAGTTCAGCTTTCTATAAACCCAAAAGAATCAACATCCAAATTGGCTTGAATATCTTTTTGATTTTGTGGTCATAAATTTGTGGTTCACAGAACTAGAAATGAGACTGGCTTAGTATTGCAGCACAACTTAATTAGGGGCCCTCTAAGGTCAGAAGATACTAGAGACACCAGGCGGTGTGATCACCCTGATGTACAAATTTAGCCACTAGAATCAGGGCCGTCTTTGAGATTTTGGGGGCCCTATGCGAAATTTGTAAAAGGGGCCCTCCTTAAGATAGTTTTAAGTTTTAAAAAAGTATGACAATGTATTGATACTAGAAAACATTCACTTAAATTAAAACAAAGCCACTTAGTACTACGGTCTAGTGGTATTCATCTTCATTTGTATGTGAGATGTCTTATGTTCAATTCTCGCCAAAGGCGAATTTGAACCACATTATTGTTAGCCTATTGTGAGACTTAACCCACTCCCCTACCCTCTTAGCGTAGATAATATCGTTTATTCAACAAAACAAAAAAATCAAAACAAACTTTAGCACTCACTGATTGCATGTTTACAAATGTCCTTAATGATGAGTAAAAACAGCTACAAACAATAACCTTCACTAAATAATCAAAGCAGCTTTATCTTAAACAGCCAAACATGAAAAGAAAAAAAATAAAATAAAACCATCAGACCTCTAACTTTAAAGTTCACTTCAATATATAACGTTGTTATATTATAAAATTAAGAAACTGTCGCTTTTCAAGGTGTCATTATTGACACTCAAAAAATCTCATTGTACCCCAAGTTCCCATGTTTAGAAAGAAAAAAAAAACACCTCTTATAAGGAGTGCACAATGCGGTTTAAAGTGCAAACAGTAGCAATTTTTTAAATATAGAACATTATTACATAATGTTAAATGGCAAAAATTTAGGGGGCCCTTCAAATTTGGGGCCCTGTGCAAGTGCACCTTTCGCCCCCCCCCCCCCCCCCCAACCCTAACGCCCCCTCTAACTAGAACAATAGTAATAAACCTTATTTTCTAATCAAATTTGGCAAAAAATTGAAGTGGCGCAGTCCTGAAAGAAGTATGGTAGATAGTAATACCTATGTGGTCGGTTAGGATGACCGACACTTGATGAATGACTCTGATACCAAATTGAAGCAATTCAACTTACACTGGGAGTTTCTAATTGCAAGGATTTAAATTCCAAGTCTCCTGCCCTGATACTATGTTAAAGTACACCCGCTTACCACTATTCCAAAAAGCTGTAACTATTAAGTGAAAAATGAAATTGGTATGATGCTATATTAGGCACCTAGACCTAAAATGTTTGAGAATCTCCAATAGCACCACAAAACTGGTTCAAACTTTCTTTTAGAACTACGTATGGGATAAACTCAACATACACATACTTAATATGTGCTATATGATGAGAAACAAAAAGAAATAAGTACTCACAATCGTGTTATATAAAACTTCGTTTGTTTGACTGGTCCCTCAGTGGTGACAGTTCCCTTAGCCACATCCAATCCCAAATCTTTCAATGCATTCATCTGACCTCATTTAAACAAAGGAAAGCAATCAATCATAAGCTTCCTTTTGTTAACAAAACAAATAAAATCTATTTGATTAGTAGATCAAGTACATGCAGCACGTTTGATGGTGGTTTCAAGAGAAACCAATAAGAAGTCCTATCTGGAATCTAAACTGGTGTGCTGAAAGATTTTGGTTTAAAAGAATCTGCTTTAAGACCGCTGTTTCAAAACTTATAAATACAATGCAAATAAAAACAAGAGGATCGCAATCCATGTTATCCTAAAATAGAAAACATATAAAGTTTCCAGTGGCAACTTCACCGTATCAATGAGTGCTCCAAGCCGATCACCGAAGCTGAGTTGCACAATAGTTGCATCAGAATCTGAATCTTGATCGATCATAACAACTGGCATCGGAAGATAATCAGCACCTTGATCAGACTTCTGCAGTTTAAAGTATCCATCAATTTGTTGGTATATGATACAGTCTCATCACACTCTTGCAGATAATCAAAAGTCAGTCTAGACTCTAGATATATTATTGCATTGTGAACTAATTTTCCAACCCCAAAAGTTCTAAGATTTGATCATGACCCACTCAAGGATAATGAAAAGTTTTAACATGCAAATAAAATATTGACAGAGCACAACGAAAAACAGTTAAAGAGAACCTAACGAAAGAAGAACCCACAAGAACTTGACTACAGTTATGGATGAGATACATTAATTGCATGATATCAAACTGACAGGCACCCAGGAACATAATCATCAAGTTATGTAATGATTGTTGACAACAAAAATTGATGTTTCTATAACGTTTACTGAGTTGTAATCATAAAACAAAATAAATTTGTCTTGTGGATAGCCCTGTGGTCTCTAGAAGAAATTGTTGAAGTCTGGGTTCTCTTACAGTCCGTTAATGGGGCCTTTTCAGCACTCAAGAGGGGTCCATATGAGCTCTAAATGGGGGTCCTTCTAGAAAAAATGCATAACAGACACATGACTCTCTTTAAATGTCTGAAGTAGAATCAAACTCTCCAATTGCAGATGTCTACCACAGGAAATATACTAATTTTCTCTTCTAGCAACATGGCTTAAGAAAACATGATCTAAAGGCCCTATTCCTATGAAAAACATTAGCAGACACCAACGCAATAGATTATATGGACCATAAGTACAGCCTAGTTTCACTAGATATTGTGAACACCACCTGTCTAATTCAAGAACAGGTAACACCGGTTAAAATACATATAGTATCCACTAAGACAACTAAACTTCACTATTCAAACAAGACCCAGGACAGGATGCAACAACCCAGGTTCCATTTTGTGTTGTGGTGTGACTAATTTACGCTGTATATGGAAGTGAAAATGCTGAAAACATTCATTGGGGAAAAAGGTACCTGATTTATTTGAATGGTATAAGCTCCCCTCCCTTTTGCCCTATCTTTTTTTTTTTTCCTATGAAACCACACCATCTCCTATATTATTAAATTCTGGTATTATGTTGTTCAAGTGAAGGACCCAGCTAATGAGACAAAATAAGGTTGGTTTTTGAAATTGCTCGTTATCCATATATTACTAATGTTAACTTGTCCAAAAAAAATGGATGGACAGGCAGCAAACTCCTAAAGCTTCCTAAAGCTTTTTTTGCATCTCAAATAGACTTCATCAGGCTGATCATAAAATCGAACTAATTCATTAAAAAAACTGAAGCAGCACTCCACCATATATCCATAAAGAACAAAATCTTTGGAGTAAACAATAAGACAATGTAATCTCTATTTTCTGCTGAAAGGTCCAAACTACCTCTTATTCTTACTGTCTGCGATGGAATTTCCTGTTTCAAGTCATGGGTCACTTGGGTTTCTCAAACACTAAAATTTACTCATAAATAGTGGTTTGAATAATCTGACCAATAATGCAGCCCCTAGAATCCCATAGGAATAACTATAACAAAATTAACGCCCCTTATTTCAGGACCTCAGCACAAAGATTTATGAGGTTAATTTGTTTTCAGTAAAGCTTTCGACATATAGGTAGAATCCAATGTATGTTATCCTTTCAAAGAAACCGATCGCAACTCATTTCATTTGCCAAAAACAACAGATTCACTAATCGAAAAATTTCAGATAGTAAATCAAACAACACCAATCGATCTGAAATATCATAGGAATGGTCATACACATGAAATCCCACTAAAATAACCATGAAACTTTTTGCATTCAGCATATAATGTAACTAACCAACGAGCTTGATCCAACTGCATTCAGACCATTCATCGACGCACGCACAATGTTCCTGCATAAAATTTTCCGGTATATAATCAAAATATCAATGAATATTTCGGATCGTAATTATTAAATAAAATAAATAAATAAATAAAATACAACAACAACTTCAAAATCTACTCTAAGTTGACTTGAAACATGCCTCTTAATCTTCTTCGCGACGAATTAAACAAAAATGAATTAATAAAACCTTGATCATAAAGGTCGAAACAAAGAGATCGAGAGCTTCTTGAGAAGCTTGATCTTCGTTTTAATCCAAAATTTTCTCGGCTACCAAACAGAACATTCAAAGAAAAGCGAAAACTGAGAAGTCAGAAAAGAAAAACTGGGAGAGAGATCTCACACCTTTCTCTGGAGAAAGCGTTGGCGGCAGCACGTTGGGAGGAGCATACGGCAGGAAGCGGGAGGAGTTTGGGGGGGTCGTACGGGGAGGGGCGGGGCTGAGGGGCAAATTCGGAAGGGGAGATTTTGGATAGATGGAGATTGATGGAAGAAGCAAAGAGCGCCATGGGGGAGGACTAAACTGCAAAGTGATGAAATTGTTTGTCTGAGCTTCTTAGAAATTGAGATTTTGGGGTTCCGTTGCTGAAGAAAGATGATGAACAAGTAGGGAGAGTGAGGAAATGGCATCGCTGTGGAGAATATTTTGGTTATTGCGTCGTTCGGGTGGGGCCCACTCTGGGCGATCGAAGTCCTCCGCAGCTTGCACCTAGACGTGTTTATTTTGAACAAGTTTTAACCAAACACACTTAGTATTATTCACCTTTTAAAAAAAAAATCATATTTCTACCTTTTCTTTCTCTGTACGATTCACTACATCTTTTTTTATTAATTTTTTATTAAAATTAAAATGTTTTTAAACTTTTCGTTAGTTTTTCTTTTTTTTTTATAATGAAAAACCAGTTTTTTTGGTTGAGTTTGGTATTGCTTTAGTTTTTTTTTTTTTTAATATAAGTTATATTTGTTGCGTCATGCAAGAGCAAGTTCACCCAGCAAATTCCCTTTGTAATTAGGTGATTCAATCTATTTACCCCAACAAAAATTGCTCCAGCCCACTCAAATCCCTTTTGCTATTTGGTGGGCCCAACTCTCCCAGACTCAACAATCGGGCAATTCTTGTCTGCCTTTGCAACTGAGGCGATATGATGTCATGATGATGCCATCATGACAAAGAGGAAGAACGGGAAGATAGAGGAAGGGATGAAGACGAAGAAAAAGTGGCAAATGGGGAAAGACGGAGCAAACTCCAAAATTTGAGTCATGATCCAGTGTTTCTGACGGCGATGGTGATGGAATCGGACGGTTGGGAGCTGAGGCCATTGGATCATAGCCTCGTGTACCAGGACTCGTCACCCATGAGCACAAAGTCGAGCGAGGAGGAGGAAGAGAGAATTCACTGATAGGAAGGGAGGCAGAAGATGAGAGCATTCGTCGGCGGCTAGTGAGTACGACTCTGCCTAAGCCAAAGGCAATGAACTTGAACGATGTGTCGTGATGGAAGTGCAGGTGGCACTCCGCTCGCAAGCTCTACATCGTGACAGAAAATACGAAAGACGAAGGAATCGAAGGACAAAAATAGGGAAAGAAAGGGTTGGTTCCCAAAAAAAAAAGATAATATTAACTTTTTATTTTAAAAAATAATAATTTAATGTGAATTGCCTGAGCAATTTATTTATAGGGTTGACATGTTCTTGGGCGACTATTGTTCACTAAAGCTAGTATTGCCAATTGCCTAATAGCTTGGGCAATTATTACCTTAAGGGGTGGAGTATTGACTTGCATTTATGATGATAAGGTCAAGGCGGCAACAAAGATGTTAGGGAGTACTAGTAATGGCAATGACAGTAAATTGTAGGTGATGAGTTGGTGGTAGTGGTTTTAAGTGTTTGGTGATGGTGGTGAATGGTCATTGAAAAAGGTAGTGGTGGTAGCGACAATGGTGGCGGAGGTGATGGTTGTAATGGCGTTGGTGGCCGCGTTAATAGATATTGTAGTAGGATGGTGGTGTTGGGTAGTGGTGGCAACATATAATGCTTAAGTCAAAGAGAGGTTTGTAGAGATTTATGAATTATGAGATTTAATGAATGACTTGACTATTTATAGAAAAGTTCAACAGTCGTCTACTTCTAGGAGACATCTAGACTTCTTGTACTTCATCTCGAACTTTACATGTAAGAGCTAGTCTTCAGTTCCGTAGGCAAGTCTTCAAATTTATTTGGGACTAATATCTGGTAGTCGATCATCTCAATAGGAAAAAATATGGTTGACTTGCAAGTGGGCCAAGTGTTCAGCTGAAGTGCTAATTACTTGGCCTTAAGGTCGAATCATTGTGGACTTTCATTATTCTTCAACTAGGTTGATCTGTTTAGTTCATTAGGGTTGAAATTGTGGAAGCATATGCTGTCAAGGGTAACTTCGTCATTCTGAGGTTAGGGTTCATACGGCAATGATTTTTAGTTTGGGGAGCTGAAAACTCATGAGTTTGTTGTGAAAGAGATGCAAAATTCATGTTAATTGCCTTTTTGAGACAGTTGTGCGGTGGTAATATTAGGGTGGCGATTATGCTTTGAATAACGTGCAGAGGTTGTGGATACAAAATTTTGCCAACACTTGCAAAACATGTAACGCCATTAGACGAACACCCAAAAAAATTGAAGGTGTCCACCAAAGGGCTTCAATGCCTAAAGTCAGAAAAAGGGTTTGAGAGAAACTAAATTGAGGGAGTTATGAGTAATAAGTGACGATGATTGATCTCCTTGTTCTACTTGGTTATTTATAGAAGAGGTTTCTCATAGGCAGCCTGACAATAAGGTTGTAGCCCGTGCTAGGTAGACCTCTGTGTTCTGCTAGGATAGTGCATTTACTGAAGAGACGACTCGAGCATATCTATAGTGGTATATGTGGTCCTTGGCATATGAGCCTAACTGAATGGAGAACAGTAAAGTGAGACTCCAAAGAGTCGACCCCTGCATCATTGAGCTCAAGAAAGGCAAAGTCGTAGGAGTATGGATATCAAGGGTTTGAATGACTCCTTAATATGTACTTGAACATGAAATTCCCAAGACCTAGAGGTATGTAGTGCTTGTCACATCCCTCTCCCCCTTCCCCAGACCCCCACCACATCTCAGGCTCAATCCACCATAGCACGATATTTTCCGCTTTGGGCCCTGACCACGCCCTCAGGGTTTTGTTTCTGGGAACACACACGAGAACTTCCCAATAGGTCACCCATCTTAAGATTGCTCTCGTGCGAACTCGCTTAACTTCGAAGTTTCGACAGAACCCGAAGCTAGTGAGCTCTCAAAAGGCCTTATGCTAGATAGAGATGAGAATATACATATAAGGCTTACAAGATCCTCATCCCTGAGTGATGTGAGATCTTACAGTGCTTCCATGTGTAGTTTGCTCACATTGTTAAAGATAATTCGTCACATTAAGCTTATAGTTCATGTGATCATGTAAGATAATCCTTCCTCCATTTTTTTAAACAACTTGTTGTCTTTGAAAATTGTTGACACCTCACTTTTTTTTTGTCCGAAGTCTAACAGGTGTACAATGATTTGGTTACCCAACTGCTTCCTATGTTATTCACCGAGCCAAGCAACCCATGCAAAGTGTCTTGAACTGCATTTCTCGTAAAATTCATGACGACTTCATCCGAGCTTCGTAAAATAATTCCAAAGATGCTACAAACTCGTAATGATGTCTATCATCTTCTTCTAAACACCTTTTTTGGGATAACGCAAACTTTTCTTGAACTAACTTCTCTCTTTTATTCAAATAAAATATGCTTTTTTTTTTTTTTTTTTCGGTAGTGTACCTTTTACCTTGTTTATAACCAACCTAAATGGAAACTTATATTTCTTCTTTTACCTTGTGACATCAATTACCAACATTGTCCACAACCTCTTATATGCTTTAAAAGGGTACAAATAATAAGACCATCTCCAACCTGAGTTAAAACCTTATTTTAGTTTTAAACTAACCCAATTCCTTCTCCAATGGTTGGGTTTACACTAAGTTTTGGATTAAAACCTAAAATTTGGGCAAATTTAACCCATGCTAGGGTTGAAAAGCCTACCCACCAAAATTTAGGTTTTAAACTATCCAATCATCCTCCAATGGTTGGGTCTAAAATAAAATTTAGGTTAAAACCTATAATTAGAGCAATTTCAAAAAATTAAATATATTAAATCTAATGACTGAGATCAAATATGATCAAATCTATCAGTTACAAAAAAGATCTAACGGTCCAAACCTAAATCTAACGATTAAAAAAAATTAAAATCAAAATTCACTAAAAAACTCTATAAATACAAGTTTCATGAAGTCGGTTTAGAGAATTTTCAAATTTTCTCGGAATCTAAATATTTTTGGTTCAAATGTTCGTGAAAATAAATTATGATAATCTATATAAATTTTATTTTGAAAAAAGTTACCGAAAACTTTTTTAGCCTATATTCATTATCTAATAATCTCGGAATAAAATCATAACCATTGGAGCAAAAAAACTATTTCTAGATTGGAGATGGTCTATGACACACCAACTCGAAATGTCCACTTCGACTTTGAATCGACTAGTGCTAGCTGACACCAGGAAGGTTACCTTTGATGGTATAATTCTCAATCTACTCCACTATACTTTACTTATGCTCTGACATCATGTGTGAAATGGGTTCATTCATGCTCACTAGCGCACTCTTATATTTAGGCACTTTTAAGTTTAAATTTATTCATATTTTTCCATGTTACTACACTTTATGGTGACGGTGAGATCCACCAAACCAACACATGAACCCTCTTAGGCACTTTTAGGTTTAAATTTATTCATATTTTTCCATGTTACCACACTTTATGGTGACAGTGAGATCCACCAAACCAACACATGAACCCTCTTTCTCTTTCTCCCCCTCTCGCTAGTCTATCTTGCACACACTCTCTGCTCACGGCTATGAAGCCGAGCTCTATTCGAATTTGAGTAGATTCTGGTGAGGACATGACAAATCCAATCAAGGTAAGGGTCAGGACCACTTGATTTGTCTTCCCAATCTCATTTTAATGATGATTGAGTCACTATACGTGTGTTTTGGCAACGTTTTGATGTAGCAATACCTCGGGGAAATATTCCCTAGTTTTTTGGCGAACCATCTGAGCTTTGTAGGCCTTTTTCTGGCTGATCCCGACCACGACTCGACTTGATTTCTAGTATAAAATTCTTCTCCTCTCTCTGAGCTTCAAATCCATGTATAATTTGCTGAGTTTAGTTTAGATTCAAGCTTGAACGGAGCTTGGAAGCTTTCCTGGTCAAACTAACCCAATAACTGGTTGTTGTAGAGGTGCAACTCGTGATGGGGATCGGGTCAACCCGACCTGAGAAAAAAAAAAAAAAACCAAATCTACGATTCAATCCAACCCATTTCTCAAATGGATCTGGAAATTCTCTCGAATATTCTATGAAATATTCCTTGTGCTGACTTTTTCAAAATTTTCTCTAAAAATCTTCCTAAGCTAATTTCAACACTCCAAGTTCGTTTTTGACATCCATTTGGTGAAATTCCATATTTTTAACGTAGTAGACTATCGAGGCATCTCATTTGACTTTTTAGAATTGACCGCTGACTTTTTGTTGACTTTTTACGAAAATTCTCCAGGGCCCATCTTAGCATATTTCAACGCCCTGATTCTAAATCCGCACTCTGTTTTCCCAAATTTAATCATTTTGGTGGAGTTTTACTAATGAGTCCCAATATTATGCTTAAGTGCGATTATTATTGGAGACTCTGACTTCCTTAGTTTGAATGGCTGTGACCTCACAAGTATCTGTGAGTGAGTCTTTTCTTTTATATAATATAAATTGACGTTATAAGAATTGTCGCAATGATGAAAATTGTGAGATCATTATGAATCCTATGGGATGCATAGGCATGCATATTATTATGGGGTGTCTTAATTATATTTGCGGCCATGAACAGTGTTATGTTGACTAGAATTATCGATTTACCGTTGCATGATCATATTTATGTTAACTACTCATCGTGTGCTGCACTGTTGTTAGTACTTGCTAGGGGCCAAGGATAGTCTTTCACGTGTATGTTCACTTCACACCATACGCTTACTTTGGATCCATTGTAGGTGCGAGTCTTGTCATAGATTGCTATAGGCAATTAGGACTTGTATGTGATGCGCATAATGTCAGTCTTCAAGTGATTGTAGTACTAGAACATATATCATTATTACATCCAGTTCTGTTTATGTCAGAATATCTCTGCATGAACACGTGTATCAGCATATGTCGATGAGCACTCGATATGATATGTTTGTTTATGCGAGAATATGTGATTACTGGACATTAGGTGTATATTTACGAAATATTGTGACAAATTGAATTCTTGAGATATTGTTGGTTACGACAAATATTTTCATACTGTATGTAGTATGTTATATGTGAAAACTATACTTATTTTACGGTAAGGGATTATTTCATTTTCAAATTTATTTTTGTTTTACAAAACTTTATTTTTAGGCCCACTCACCTTTGTTTTTCGCCCCTCTAGGTTTTAGTAGTTGAGTTTCGTATCGACGAGGATTCTTGGAAATACCTTCGATTGTATAATTCTCAATCTACTCTATTGTACTTTACTTATAGTCTGACATCAAGTGTGAAATGGCTTTATCCCGCTCACTAGCGCACTTTAGGCACTTTTAGGTTTAAATGTATTCACATTTTCCACATTATTACATTTGATGGCTTTGTCACCTTCTTGGTGTCGGCCAGTACAACTCGATTTGAAGTCTAGGTGGACATTTTAGATCACAGTGTGTCAGTCTAAAGAAGAAAAGAAATCACGGCTTGTGCCTATTAATTTTTTTTAATGATCTCGGACTAAAATTTCAATCCAGAACTAGGCAAAATTTTTAACCTAGAACTATTGAAGGAAAAAAAACTATTTTTGGGTTGGAGATTGTGTAAAGAAGAAAAGAAGTCATGGCTTTTGCCTATGGAGGAAAATAATTAAAATCAAAAGTGAAAAATGCAAAGTACAAATAAAGGTAAATCCATCCATATGAATATGATGCCGGTCCATTAGCGGTCCACCGGTCCGGGAAATAAAAAACCCAAAACCAGATACAAGGGACCTGCCGCGGGGGAGTGTGGACTCAGCAGTCAAAAAGTCAAGCCCCTAAATTTGCGTGGGACCCACAGCCCTTCCCCCTTCTCACAGAAGACAGAACCTCCACGCGACGACAGCCCCAAGCCTCGAACGCCCAAAACCCCCCAAATCCCTAGAATTCACTGATACTTTGTCGCCCTACAATTCGACCTCTTCCTCCTCGATCGCTCAATGCCGGTGCGTCTCGCTTGCGTTTCGTTCTGTGCTTAGCTTCTTCTTCCCCGAATTTTGTATTTGCGAGGGAAATTCAGGTTCAATTTGTTGCAATTTCGGAAAACCCTAGTTTCTAGTAGTAGCTTAATTCCAAGGTTTGCATTGTTGTAGTGGGGTGCTTGATTTTTTAATCTTTCTTAATTTGTAGTTGTCCAATTTTCCCGAATTATTTTGAATTTAAGCTGTTTATGTGTTTTACATAGTGGTTAATGGTTGGTTTAATTGTTTTAAAAAAAAAGTTTATGGATAATTGTAGTTGTTGAGTTGCTTTTGTTGGTTGGTTAGAAGAATTTAGGATGTGTAGTTTGGAATCTTTAGTCAGTTTTGCACTTGTTTTGGGACACTAGGTAAAGGTAGCTTTTTGGTCAACTCTGTTTTCAATTATCTGAGCTCAATTCTGTTTTTGGAAAGTGAACGTACACTAAGTTCAACATCAAACCGGGTTCTGGGTGGTGTACCATTTCGGTGTGGACGAGTACTTTACATGTAGACGGCACTGTATTATTTTTGACAATGATTAGCGTAATCTTTTGACTTTATTGTTTAGAACTTATTGATTGTTTACTTAAAGAACAGAGTTTATATTTTGGTTGTGTACTAATTTAGGCTCAATGTGTGCTTTAGATATGGTCGGATAACTTCAGAATGGACATGTATTTATGGATATGATTTGTCCAGTACTTGTAGACCGCTGCATTTGAGATTGTTTCTTGATTGAGCTGAACTAGGTTTTTAGGAAGAAACTATTTGTTGATATAAGCTGGTTCCCTTGGCCTTGAGTAATGGCGGGAGGTGTGAGATTTGAGATGAGTGCAGCCAGTCCGGAGGACTCGGCGTTTGCAGGGGGATATTCAAATGGGATGAGAGGAAATTACCCTGGTGCCAGTTTGGATAGGTCTGGAAGCTTCCGTGAGGGTGGTGAGAGTCGGATGCTTAGTTCTGGTGCTAGTACACCCAGGGACAATGCTGCTTCGAGAGGAAATTTGCCTTCACTACATCAGTGTTTGATGTTAGATCCTATTACAATGGGAGATCAGCAGTTTACTTCCTTGGGTGAGCTAAGGAAGGTTCTAGGAATACCTTTTGGGGGCAGTTTAGAAGACAATCCATTTGGAGCAGCTAATTTGAAGCCCCACACTCCAGTGGCTACGGAGGACCTAAAATGGTTCAAAGATGGTGTGCTAGTGGCCTCTAACAAGGCCAGGTAATCTAATTAACTCTGAAATTTCCATTTATTCTTGAATCTGTTTATTTGTGGCTCGAGATCCTCTCTAGTGTTCATGTCCTTTTTTATGAAGTTAAAATCTCTCAAAATAAATATAGTTAAACCTTTTAATTATCGAGCTTGTTGGAGGTGGGTGAACCTTGTGGTGTGTTTATTTGGGTTGTATTCAAGAAGTTATCTCTCTGCTGATGTTACAACAATTTTTGGTCAGGGTTAGAGCAAAAAGGTTGGATGACTCGATCGAAAAATTGAACAGGTATTGTGAAGCTTTAAACTTAAAGAAGCAGCAAAGGAATGAGTTTATAACAAATGAAAGATCAGGTGGGTCAAACTTGCTGAAGATGGGAGCTTCAAGAAACTCTTCAGATTCTACGAATCAAAGGCCAGAGGACAGGACTAAGACTGTTGTGATGAACAGGCGTGTTCGCTCATCAGTCACAGAAATAAGGGTATGTATTCAGAGAGTTTTACCTTGTGGTTTGAAGTTAATTGCTATATATTAACGCCTAATGCTGTAAACAGTGGCAGACATACATGTATGTACATAAGTAAGAATGGTAAAATTTCAATATCTTTGTGGTTTTCTTGCTAATTAGTGAAATTAGTCTTCCAGTTTTCACTTTCTTAAATTATTAAGAAATGTAAGTTTTACATAAAATTAAGGAAGATACACCCTGGGAAGAGAAACTCAAATCAAAAGAAAAGGGTTGTACCCATAACATGCCAACTAGAAATGAAAAATGTAAAAATTTAAGTGGTGGCAAAAACCCACAAAATATTTTTAATAGAAAGTAGTACCACCCTTTCAGATTTAACATTATCCTGAGCTAGAAATCTGAGTAACATGACTATAAAATTATTCAGGTTTCAGCTTGAAGGTCTTTAATCCTAACCACATATCTCTAACTTGCTTGAAATTTACCTTTGGTACTTACTTTTGAATCTTGTTTCCATAACATGCACATTTGTGGTCAACTTTATTCTTTTAGGCTCAAAGCAGAAGTAGTGTGCTGACAAGGCAGCCTGTGGTTGTGGGAATGGATATGGATATGCTTAGAGGTGAAGGCTCTGATCTTGTTGAAGAAAAGATTCGCAGACTACCTGCTGGAGGGGAAGCATGGGATAAGAAAATGAAAAGGAAGCGTTCTGTAGGCACAGTATATAGCAGGCCCATGGATGGTGATGCAGAGCTAAAACGAACCTTACATCATAAGCCTAATGATGAGCCTTGTCCCCAAGCCTGTGATGCCCAAAGTTTCAGGTGACTTTAGACGTTGACAAACATCCACCACCACTTTGTAGAACCAAGAAATTATATTGTCACAATGATTCTATTAGAAGTATATTTATTATATACACTTGCAGCCTAGATGATTGCTGTGATGACATGTTGTATTGTATTTGAATGGTTTGATGCTACAGGAGTTATTAGATGTGCTCGTTGTTCTTTAAAATTCATTTTTTTTACCTGTAAAGTGTAAAATCAAAAACCAAAAGTAGCCACCATTTGAAATTGCCATTTTCTTTATTTTTTCATATTCTGGACAATGTAAATTTCCCCTTCAATGTGTAAACTCTCAAAGTGTGAGTGAAATCATGTGTTGTGTTTGTTATTTCTGATAAACCTATAGTGCAGGGGTTGTATTTGAAACATTTTATTCTCTTCTTACAGAAGTATTGTGGTTTCTTTTTGAAATTGTCTTGTTTCGTACAGTAATCCTTTTACTGGTTTTGCCTCCTTATTAGTCTTGTTTGCTACTAGTTATTATATAAAACAAGAAATTTCTCCATTCTTGCAGATCAGGGTCATTTACTGGTGGTAATGCATTAACAAGCTAGACTCTAATTCCTTGTCTGCTAATGCAAATGGTCGTATTATGCTCAAGAATGAGTTGGACAAGGTCTCTCTTTCAAAAGATTTAACGTCTGGGTTGACTAAGGAGCGACTTTTACCAAAGGCAAACAATAAGTATGTGCTTGTACTATTCTTGTGCAAGAGTTTCTTGTAGGTGCATTGAAGGTTTCTTTGACTAGTTATTACTAAATTTTTCTGCTGACTTTTTAATGTCTGATCTGGTGACCATTCTGTTCAGGTTAAATGTTCGCGATGATAGTCAAATACTCAATCCTAATCCAGTGACAAAGGGAAAGGCTTCAAGGGCGCCAAGAAATGGCCCTGTAACTGTGTGCAACTCATCTCCTAGTCTTCCTCGCACATCTGGAACACCTGAGGGATGGGAACAACCTTCAAGTGTAACAAAAAATAATTCAGCAAGCGGTGCTACCAATCGCAAACGTCCGGTGCCCACAGGATCAACCACGCCCTCGATGGCTCAATGGGTTGGTCAGAGACCACAGAAAATGTCTCGAACCAGAAGATCAAATCTACTGTCTCCTGTGTCAAGCCATGATGAAGTGCAGATACCCTCGGAAAGCTGTTCCCCTTCTGATGTGGGTGGTAGATTAAATTCTTTTGGGACCAATGGGTTGCTTCAGAAGAGTGTTGCGAATGGTGCCCAACAAATTAGAATTAAACAGGAAATAGTTTCATCTCCTGCCAGATTATCTGAAAGTGAAGAATCTGGTGCTGGTGAAAATCGTGAAAGCAGATTGAAAGAGAAAGGACCAGGTAGCAGTGAAGTAGATGAGAAAGCTGTGAACGATGTTCAGAATACTGGTTCTTCAATATTACCTACAAAGAAGAATAAACTGCTCAATGGAGAGGAAACTGGAGCTGGTGTTCGGAGACAGGGAAGGAGTGGAAGAGGATCATCAGGTTTGTAGGGCTACCACTGTAGCTACAAGGGAAAACTTGGAAACTCCAGCCTCGGCAAAGCCATTCAAAAGTATGAGGCCTGGTTCTGAGAAGAATGGAAGGTGTTAACTAATTTATTTATTCATTAATGTTTTGTTTCAGCATAAAATGATCTACATTTTCTCACTTTAGCATTTTCCTGTTAAACCAAATCTCGAGAGTATTATATTTAAGCTTTGTATTTTTTCTTACTTCAGTAAATCAGGGCGTCCTCCTCTGAAGAAACTGTCAGATAGGAAGGCCTTTGCTTTTCCAGGCCATATATCTACCATCGGTTCCCCTGATTGTGCAGGTAGAGTACCGGCATTTCTTTTATTGGTATGTTTTGACTAGGTCTTTTTATTATTTCTTGTTGTACCAATACCAAAAGTTTATTTGGCTGATTACATTTCTGTATAGGGAACTTTAGTAACACTAAAAAAAGTCATTCTGCAGTCCTTCTCCATCCCTTTTTTATTTCACTAGGGAGGAGTGCATGATGATCTTTTTGTAGAGCCAATAGCAGCTCCCTTCTGTATATTGCGCCATTTGTTGAAGTTTGACCTTCATTTGGATATGCATGTCTGTACACTCCGTGAATGATGACTGATGAGAATCATCGTTACCGTTATATGATTTCAAACTTGATTTCTTTGGATTTTTCTCCGACACAAAATCGATTACAATATATTTACTGCCATAACGGTTTGGCTCCTTGAAACTTAAGGGCTGCAATTATATGCTATTGCTTATGATGTTTCAGGTGAGCCAGATGATGACCATGAAGAACTTCTGGAAGCTGCAAATTTTGCCTGTAGCTCCAACGGTATGTTTCCATGACTAATCTTTCTTTAGAAATATATATGTACATATATTATATGTTTAAATTTGCATTATAACTATGTTTTCTCTGTATACATTTGCATTATGGTATTGTTTGGTTGTTTTTGTAGATTTGGCCTGTTCTAGTCCATTTTGGAAGAAAATGGAACCAATATTTGGTCCTGTCAGTTTAGAGGTGGTATCCTACTTCCAGGAGCAGGTAGCAGCTAGAGTTTATCGCTACATCTCACTCAATAAAATTTCGTTTATTAGATAGATATTATCCCTGACTAATTCTTTCCCTATTTGTATGTCTGCTTTCAAATCAGCTCATATCTGTGGAGGAGAATGATGAATGCATGTCTCTGATGTTAGGCAATGCCAATAATGTTTCGGTAATGTCTGGCATATTATTTATTGACAGACTTTTGATATCTGATTTCTATCTCTGCCATCTTTCTTTACACTAAATCTTGGTTATTTTCCATCCAGTGTCATATGTTATTTGATTAAGACTTGAATTTGGTATCTCATCCTAAAGTGTGCCACCTTAGACATCTATTTAAGCTTCAGCTTTTAGGCATCCACTAGGATTTTCAACGGTGTAGCAACACATTTTCCTTCTATGCTTTGGCAAACGCTGCAAATGGTATCCCACTTTTAAGTTTGTGTTACAAAAGGGTGGTTGCACAAGTGGTATAATTGAAATTGATCATTTTCTTGCAAACGACATACACCAATAAAGGGAAAAGAATGAAAAATCTATGAATGGGTTTATTCTGTCTGTGATGTTAAATTATTCTAACCAGCTTTGCTTAGTTTCTACTTTACTATCAAGTGTTTCTGAGGAAGACAAGCACTGCGATGTTAATTATGAAGTTATGTTGTTTCCCAGGGTGATATTGTGCATGAAGAAAACTTTGTGTCCAAGACTCTTTTTTCTGGACAATATGAGTGGAACGTGCAAGACCAAATTCAAAAAGGAGATGTATCTTGTGGAAGATTAGTCTCAGAAGGAACAAAGAAAGTGCCTCCATTGTACCAAAGAGTATTATCGGCTCTAATCATGGAAGATGACATTGAAGAATTTGAAAATGGCATTGACCGGAGAACTATGTCTTTACAATATAATGGGGACAATTTTCCAGGTGATACATGTGCCTCGATTAATGTTGAGCCAAGGAACAGGATCCGGGTCCAGCTTGTAAACGATACAGATATGGGTTTGCAGACTCTCAATCAATATTCCAGTGACAATTACCCTTACAATGGGGCTAGTGGCTTTATGAATGCTACAGGCATCTGTAATCAATTATACAATAATGATTTGTCAAAAGTAGATTTTGGAGAATTGCGTTCAGAGAGTGGGATGCTTCCCTTGTTTTCCGAAAATGGTGCAGATGGGTTACAACATATGGTTACAAACTCTCCAGGAATTTCTTCCTCTGATTGCCCATATGAACAGATGCCTCTGGAGGATAGACTCTTGCTGGAGCTACAAAGTGTAGGCTTGTTTCAAGAAACAGTGGTAAGCTCTTACCCTACGTGTATTGGTGATGCTTAAATGTTTAGCTCCATGGCCATAAGGTCTATTTTCACCTTACTGAGTTTGTCAGGCCAGTCCTGTTTCTGCTAGAAATTTGCATGTCATGGAGTGCAGAATTAGGATCAAGGCAACTATTTCGAATGGAAGCTCTCTTTCTGTCTGTTGCCTTTTTCAACCCCTTTCCTACAATAATTTAACAACTTACTGTTTGCCTTGTCTCAGCCTGATCTAGCAGACGGAGGGGACGAAGCAATTGATAAAGATATTGTTGGACTACAGAAGCTACTCCACCAACAGGTTATGTCTCTTAGATATCACCTCTTATGAACATAACCACGTTTCCACATTTCACCTCATTAATATGATTGCCCCATTTTGTCATGGAATTGGTCCATTCCGAGTCATTTCTTCACCTTTCCCATTTATCTCATGGTTTACTAACATAAATTGCATTCTGATTCTGTAGGTTGATGGGAAGAAGATACGGTTAAACAAATTTGTTAAAGCAATTGAAGAAGGCATGGACATCGAAAGACGGTATAATATTCAGTACTTTAGATGATTTCTAAAATTTGTAGTATACTTGTACATTGTTTTGGTACGAAAATCAACACAAGAACCGATTCTTTTGATTCTGCGGAAGTTTTAATCTTATGTGGCTAAATTGCAGGCGCCGCGAGCAGGTTGCTATGGACAAGCTTGTTGAGTCGGCTTACAGAAAGCTTCTGGTACTTTTTTCAATTTGCTTATTGGGATGGGATTTGAACTTGCATGTTCCAAGCATCAGTTACTTACAGCTTGATTGAAGTGCAAAAAAAAAAAAAAAAAAAAAAAAAATTGATGTCCTTTAACTGGAGCATGTACCCACATTCTGCTGAATTTTAACTGTAGCATGTTAAGTATGAAGTATTACTTTGACCATAAAAGGTCTCATTTTCTTGTTTCTTTAGGCCACTCGGGGAAGTATTGCTTCAAAATATCGGATTGCTAAGGTTTCAAAACAAGTTGCTGTTGCTTTTATGAAGAGGACTCTTGCTAGATGTCAAAAATATGAAGAAACCGGAAAAAGTTGCTTTAATGAGCCTGCACTTCGAGATGTCATTTTCGCTGCATCGCTTCCTGGTAGCAGTGGAGAAACCATGAAATGCAACAGCTTAAGTTCGCCACTTGAAAATCAAAACTCTCAACAAGAACCTGGGGTTTCAGGTTAGTACTTTTAAGTATTTAGATGTTTTGCTTTTAAGGAGTATTTGTTGGTTTAGCATACGTTTTTTTATTTTTTTTTATTGTTTGTGTTTGTAAATGTTTAGAAATTTATATGCCACAGTTTTATAGTTAGAGGTCATATATATCAGACAAAACCAATGCACAGTTTTATTTCTCTCCCATGATTTGGACCTTTTCCAAACATCTCTGCTTTATTTAAGGGAGCTGTTGTCGGCACACAAAAAATGTCCTCCAAATTTATAAAAATACAAGGAAATCTGTATAGGGAGGAGTGCACTATGTTTGGAGTGCCAATAACAACGCCCTTTATTTATAGTTATCTTTTTGCAGAAACTTATTGTCAGGTGAACTGCTTTTTGTAAATGCCTTCTCTCTTTTCTTTCCACAGGTTCATCCAAATGGGCGGAGCGGCCTGATCATCGTAATAAGTTTGACAGGGGTTCTTGTGGCATGTCCAGTCTTACCCATCCCTCTGAGCAGGTTACAAATACTGGACCAATATTGTACAGAGGGAAAAAGAAGGAAGTTCTGCTTGATGATGTTGGCAGCCCCTCCTTGAAAGCTGCATCAAATCTTGGTCCTGTGTTGGGCCGAGCAAAAGGAAAAAGAAGTGAGAGAGAAAGGGACAAAGATACATCAGCCAGGAATTCTGTTACCAAAGCTGACCGTCCATCATTGGGTAACAATAAGGGTGAGCGTAAAACCAAAACAAAGCCCAAACAGAAGACAGCTCAGCTATCAACTTCAGGAAATGGGTTGATTAGCAATGCCCCTTCAGCTGGATTTGTTGAAGTTGTTGGCAACAATAATAACAGTAAACGAGAGATTGAGCCCGCATGCTATAATGACATTCCTCAGGGTCCTACAGAGACCAAGAAACAAATGGATTTTGCAAACTTGCATCTGAATGATTTAGACTCGATAGAACTAGGAGTAGCCAATGACCTTGGTGGCAACCAAGATCTGAGTACTTGGTTTAACTTTGATGAGGACAGTTTGCAGGACCATGATGCGGAGGGGCTTGACATTCCTATGGATGACCTCTCGGATTTGAATATGCTTCTGTGAGGACGACAGCAGACTGTATATTTCCTTGGATTACTTGACCATTTAGATAAGACTGATGGTGCTATTGTCAGAGGGCAACCTGCCAATATAAGTTTTGGCTCTGGCAAACAAGCACATGTAATTATGGCCATTTTTTTGTATACTCATATGAAGAAGTTTAAAAAAGGAAAATAAAAACAAATCTCAATTGTTTATGTAGTGCAGATGAATTCTCATCATAACAAATAACAGTTTTCTTTTGAGTATAATTTTGCCTCTGTTCATTTTTCTGTTCTCTAGCATTGCTGACTTCTTTTTCCGCGGCAAATAAATTTAAGTGCTTACTGGAATCTAAGTGCCAGTGCTAACCGCTAACTATTTCCTCTCCAATTTTATATAATTTTGATGTACTTTTTGTGGCTGTTATTCTGCTTATGTGCACTAATGAGAATGCTATGCTTGACAGTGATGGTGGATTATTCACTATTATTGATTTTCTTGGGAAATCAAGTGGAATCTGGTTAAAAGGCACACTCTTATTTTGTCGGGTATTATTTGTCTGCCTTATGGCTGGGATTGGTGTCTACAAGAGATCATTTGCCTCATTGCACAGTTTCAGGCTCAGCACCAGGGTATGCCTTTAAATTTACAGTTATTTTTTTGGTCATTATATGTTTCCCCATAAATGAAGTGAATGCCTGGAAGATCTTAGTAATATTTGTTGTAGTAGGTAATTTTGAACTCTTTCCTAAGAAGACCGGTTTTGACACAACAAATAGAGAGGCTCATTAAAAAATTTCATTCACTCTTGACCAATTAAATCTTTCTGGATTTGTTTTTATGCTTTTCCATGCGAAGCCCACAGGTGTTTATTCCTTCTTTTTTTTTTTTTTTAATAATTTTTTGTCCCTTTATCATTGAAGTTTGAGGCCTGGAAACGGGATTTATTAAGGTAGGCTATTTCCTTTCATATCCTGTGACAGCTACAATTGCCTGAGATTTATACTGAGTTCTGCCAAAATCAGCTTTTGGTATCAACTATGACTTTACGTGATATCCCGAGTTCTAACATAATTTGGCTTTTGTAATCAACTGTTATGTGGCTTGATAATAGTGTGCTGCACTACCCAACTCGTAACCTTGTCCCCTCTACCCCTCTTTTGGTTATGCCATTACCAATTGTAGGTACCCCATTTAGTATTTCGTTTGTATTTGTATTCTGGTGACCCTTGTAACCTTGTTCTTGGTTAGGCCCTATTTTGTCAACTAGAGTGGGTGTGGGCCTATGCATTATAGGGAGTATTGAGTTCTGTTGTCAAGTTGTGGAGGGGATGATCTCCTAACAGCTTAGGCTTTTGGGATTAACAGTTGCTTGGATGCCGTACTACGGTCTAGTGGTATTCTTTTTCACTTGTAAGTGAGAGGTCTGAGGTTCGATTCTCGCCAAAGGCGAATTTGAACCACATTATTGCTAGCCCATTGTGAGGCTTTGCCCATTCTCCCACCCCCTTAGTGTAGATAATAACGTTTGTTAAAAAAAACACAGTTGCTTGGATTTGTTTTGTTACTAGAAAATGGAGAGGTTTTATGGTTTGTTTCTGTTTCAGGAGCTGTTACAATCTCAAGACCTCTGCATTTGTACTTATGCGGTTCCAATGATGCAATGTCGTGACTGTTTCATTCTGTTTGGAAACTTGATGAATCTGCAAACATCAGCTTCAAAGTTGGTTGTATCTTTTCATGTATTTGTTTCATTAAATTTTGGCGGTTGCTTTACTTGAGTTTCTCTTCTTGTATGTTGTTGTTGCAGGTTGGATCTGATAGCTCGTCCACTGTCTCAGCTTGTTCTTTTTTACTGTAAGATGATTGTCCTTGCCCTGGCATCTGGCTCTGTTATCTTATCATTAATTAACCTTGCCCTCAATCTGGTTCTGTTTTTCATATATTTTTATGGTACGGAGCCTCTGGCTCGGTCAGTTAGTAGTCTGATGGTAATGATTTGGTTGTTTTACATGGGATTGCTTTGATTGGTCATTTCTTGAGGAGCGTTTCTTATTACCTTTCTAATGGATTGTTAATTTATTCAAATACTAATGGGTTTGAATCCGTTTGAAATCTAGAAGCAGTGAGAAACCACTGTCCTTGTGTGCATTACATTCTTAGAAAACATCGTGGCTTTTTGTTTTCATGGTTTCTGTGATCTTTACCTGCCCTACACTTACACTTACAGATTCTTTTCATCCCTGTGATTCCAGTTTCAACACATTTACACTATTATGTTGTTACGATTTTGAGTTGATAAAGTTTGACATTTCTACCAGAATGGTGTACAAAACTGGACGCCAACTTAGTGTCTCCCTACCCTTCTTGCCCTTCTTTTCTTTGGTGGAGTGAGGAAAGGGGTCACATGTCTAAGGTGTGTATTGTTGTCGACCTATTGACAAAATTATTAATTTGGATGAATGTGATTCGATCAGGAGATTATAAGTGTTGATCTGTTGGAATTAGAACAAAGATAAAAAAGGAGCCATTTCATTATCATTACATAAACTGTATTCGTCTTAAGGTTGAACAATAAATAGATGACTAACTGGTTCAGAAGATTGTTGACAGAAAAATTGGTTTAAATATTTTGCTGTTTTTTGGCAAAGGTGTTCACAGACGGGAACCTAAAATGAGCGGGCCGGATTATTGGGCCATATTTCGGCATCTTATTAGGTTCCTATCAGTTGACAGTTAAAAGTAGTGTTCTGATTCTATGTAACTTCTGGTAAGGTTTATCTCTTACATCCAAATGTTATAATGTTCAGTATACAGTATACACTCTTTTGACTGTGGAGTAGATGGGTTAGTATATATAATTTTATCAGATCAATTGATAGTTTAAGTTTTATAAGATTGATGTTCTGCTGATCCAACGGTTGAATTTAATAATCTAATCATATACATAATTCATGTACACGGTACTAGAATTAGTGTTCTTAAACTATAAACGTAACCTTCATCATATGGTTATGTGGGTGTTAAAGATTATGTGAATGGGTTCAACAGTAAATTCAATATTGTTTGAGCAAAGAACAAATCCTGCAAAAACTTATCAACTGGTGTAACACACTCTTACAGCCCCAGCTGCTTTGAGTTTATGGCTAAAGGTGAACAGTGTCATGATTGATGTAAGATCTGATATTCAGATGGAGTTTAGGGTGTAAGCGTGTAGTAGTTACGTTTTAAGTAATTTTAAGGCTTATGCGTAGCATGGGGTGATAAGGAATATGTAGGAATATGCATGTGTTAAAACTTACCGAGGGGTTTCCAGGAGTTTTCTATTGCATCTTATAAACATTTTATTCATTGCTAAAGTTGGGGTTGGGAAAAAATGGATTTTAAATTTTTGTGAAGGGTCGGGATAAATGGGGATTTTAGGGTTTTATTAAAGAAGTGTTGAGAGGTTAGGCTTGGAGTGTAAGCCAAGTAAGGTAAGTGACTAGAAATTGAAGAACGGTTCTTTCGATCTCTGTGTGTTTAGATGTTTAATCCATCTCCCTGGGTTCTCCAACTAGGATTTGTAAGAGGTATATGCTGCTGGAACAAACTTTCAGAGGCTGGATTTTGGTTGTACTGTGCAGAACATCAAAGAAGGCAGAAGAAGATATTGAATGCGGACCTAAAAAACGTTTGCAGGTAGCGTTACAGATTGATTAGGCTTTTTGAAATTCCAATTGCGTTGCTTAGAAATTTGAAGCTATTGTATTTTCTACCTTGAATTTGTTTTACATATTCCAATGGCATGTGCAGAGGCCAAAAAAATTGCTCACAAATGGAAAAGAAACAAAGAACATGTGGGTTGTGATGTTATGGGCGTGATGGTGAACCTGGCGGAAGCGGCTGAAGTTACCTGTGGCCTGGGTTATTGGCTTAGAGATACTGGATTGTTCTACGAGGAGCTTTCAACGAAGAGATGTTAAGCTATCGAGATAAAAACTTACACCTCTTCAGCATTCTGATATGCACGTTGAGTGCGTGACTTGAACATTTTTTGCCAAGTAGAGGGCACAGCTTAGTCTTTAAGTAAGGTACTTATTATGTTTAAACTGTTTTAAGATGGAAATTCAGCAGTTTCCTTTCATTGGTATGTTCCTCAAGATATATTATCTGCGTAATTTGTAATTGAATCCGTATGAGTGTCTGGTTGCTGAATCACAACAGAAACAAACGATGAAAAGTGCCTGCGGTGTAATTTTGCGACCGCAGTTGTCGTTGTGCTTGAACCTTGCTCCAATGGTAAATATGCGTTGTAAAGTTTGCTGCCTCCAGCGCAAGTGTTTTCCAGATGCTCATAATATTAGGCTTTCGTTTGTTTCATTGAATGTCTTCCAGGTTATAAGGAGTGGAATCCCCTAACTATTGTGCCGTTGCTTTACCGCTCACTTTCTTGATACTTGGTAACCCCTCATCTAAACACAGCATCAAAGTTGGGAAGAGGTTTTAAATTCTAATCCAAACTCTTTCATCGATTAAAAAAAAAAAAAAAATACAACAAAGCCTACTAACCTGAGGGTTTAAGGGCGAACATTGTGTGATTTCACCCAAGGTGAACAGACCAAGACCACCATAACCTCACCTGGTTAGGCATCACTGATACAACCAATTACTTTAATGCCCTGCTTAGTTACAAGCCCACGCTACTAGGCTCAACAATATCATATCATTGTGTAAACCCTTTTAAACATATTTAATATTTGATCTCTGTCCGATGTGGGACTTTAGCAATTATCTACTTAATAACTAGCTTCCAACTTACCAACTTACCAATTTACCAACTGTGAAATTCAAAATCCAACAGAGAGTGATGAATAGAAGGGTCTTCTCATATTAATTTCCAGGTGAGACTTAGCAGCCTTCGAGATAAAATACTCGCGTTGTACCCTTATTCGACATAAGAAAATAAGCTTATACCACTTTCCCATGAACGTAGCCACGTAAATTCCTTGGTATGCATTATTTCCTTTACGTTTATCTTATTTGGTTTTCTCCATTTTTGTGACGAGTAGCCCTTTGAAAATGAAGGAATTTGAGCAGAAGGTCTTATATCTACAAATTACAATGTTTAAACCATTGAAAAGCATGTCAGTAATCTCCAGATTCCAATATCCTTCACACACCTTGCGGAACTCCTACATATTTACTTCGACCAGAAGCCTTGGGACTCAAGGAACTAAAAAGTACCGATAATACGGTGAGTTTGATTTGTTCTGTAAATAGTGATGCGAATGCTGTATCCTCCTCTTCATCGGTGGTGGTGGATTTTGGAGAAGAGACCGAGGATGGAAAAGTCGCGTAGTGGGAGTTGAAGAGAGAAGGGAAGAGAGTGAGAGACCTTTTTTTAATTCCCTTCCTTTTTTTTATTTCAAATTTTTCTTAATTAATTTGTAATATGCATTTAAGTTCAAACTCCAAGTGTCAGAAATTTGGTGGGCTAGAGCAATAAGTAATGCCAGGTCATCAGTTAACGAATGAATTGACAAAAAGATTAACAAAAGTATTAAAATAGCAGAAAATTTAAACTTTAGATATGGAAGTGGATCGAAAAATAAGTAAGTGTAGTAAAATGAGATTTTGTGAACTTAAGTGTAATAAAATAGAAATTATCCTCATTAGAAATTTAAAATTTAAACAAGTTTTTTTTTTTAGTATAGAGGAGGGCAAAGCCCAGCAAGCAAAACAAGAAAAACCTAGGCAAGGACAACCCTATGAAGGACATTGCCAATAATATCCGAAACTGCAAAAAAATTAGTAGCAGTGACAGGAGGAGAAACAAAAACATATGACCAAGGGAAGCCATAACCCAAGTCACCCATGTGGTCAGCTAAGACATTCTTTTTTCTATAGATATGAGTGTCTTCATAGTTTGTAGCCATCTCGGAATTTTTGTTTGTTGTTTTTTGTTAATAGTATTCGTAGTTTCATACTTTGTTCGTCCGTTTAGTACTCTGATTTTCAACTGGTAGATGGTATATGACTGGTTGAAATATTGCTTGACTTTTTTTTTTTTTTTTTTAAATTTTTAATTTTTATTACAAGTTAATCAAGATGTAGTCCTCAGTTTGTAGTTGTCTTGGCCTTCTTATTGTTTTCCTGTTAATATTATTCATAGTATCATACTTGTTAATTTGCCCGTTTGGTAATCTGATTTTCAACTGGTATATGGTATATGACTAGTTAAAACATTGCATGACTTTTTTTTTAAATTTTTATTACAAGAGACATTTTACACTATGGGAGTGAAGTGAGGACGACGTAGTTGCATGATATTCATCACTTTGATTTTCAACTGGTAGATGGCATATGTCTAGTTGAAAGATTGCATGATACACATCACTTTGAAGTGGGTTACAAAAAGTGAAAGATTGCATGATACACATCACTTTGATGTGGGTTACAGCAAGTGAATGTGTAGTGAGATGCCACACACCAGACAGCATGTTGAGGGTACACATATCTTAGTCTGCGGGGCTTGGGTTGCAACCTCATATCCAATCTAAAGCAAGTTTTTATTAGCTATCCAACCATGGTGGATGGGGGATCCCACTAACCCGAGGGTTTAAGGACGCACTTTGTGTGATTTCACCCAAGGATGAACAGACCAAGATCACCATAAACTCACTTGATTAGGTTTCATCGAGGCAACCAAACTCTTTAATGCCCTGCTTAGTTATAAGCCTACGCTATTAGGATCAACGATGTTATAGCATTGTGTAAATCCTTTTAAACATGTGTGAATTTCAAATTTAAATCGATAGAAAGCTCTTCTCATATTAATTTCCAGACTAGACATAGTAGCCTCAGAGATTTAAGTTTTTTTTTTTTCTCGTTGTAACCTTATTTCACATAAGAAAAGAAGCTTATACCGCTTTCCATGAACATAGCCACGTGAATTCCTTCGTATCCATTATTTCCTTTACATTTATTTTATTTGGTTTTCTCCATTTTTGTAACAAGTAGTCCTTTGAAAATGAAGGAATTTGAGCCGAAGGTGTTTAAACCATTGAAAAGCATGTAAGTAATCTCCAGATTCCAATATCCTTTACACATCATGCAATACGACTCCTACATATTCACTGTTAGAAATTTTGAGTAGAAATATCATTCTACATTGTCCCACATTGGTCACCATAAAAAAGCTTATTCACTTTATAAGGTTTTGTTCTTATTAGAGCAATTCCACCCTTAAAGACTTTGCACCAACACCCAGCCAATTTATCCACTCAGTGAACAGTGATAGACCCCAATAAATAGTATTAGACCAAATGCATCTCCACCTCTAAAACTAAATAGCCTAGTCAATTTTATTAAATATTATTATTATTATTTATTATAAAATAATAATTTGATTTATTAAAATATTATCAATTTTATTAAACCCTATTTAATCCACCGTTCCCACTTCCCCTCAACCTCACCATGTCGTGCCGCTCACCAATCAATACTCAATCTCCGACCAATACCTCAACACCCAGGGCTTCAACCTCCACCGCATGATCGCAGAGCTCAACCTGGACCACCTCAACAAGGTGTTCGTGGCCATCAGGTTTTCAAAGTGGGACCTGGACAAGATCTGGACGGCACTGGAGCACACAGACTTGCTACTGTGGATGGAGTACAGGAAGATGAAGCGGCCAGTGGTGTTTGCGAGGTCGACGGGAGACGGCCTCCAGTTCAAACTTCCTTCTGACGCCACGCTGGGGTCAGATGAGCCGGTCCCAAGGTCTGTCACTTTTGTGCTGGCCTGGAGACCAGCTTGGGCTGGGTGCCTGGCAATCCCGTGGGATGGAGAGACTTCCCTAGGTGCCGGGCCATTTTTTTGGCTGTGTGCCAGCCTATCCCACCCCCAGTGGAACTGCTCTTATAAAGTGATTTGAGTGATGGACTTGGAGAGTAAACTTGAGCTCAACCTTGGATTTTGGCTTTGGGGTGTAATGAGTTGCTCTACCGCTCCCGAGACAAATCCGACATTTGGAAGATGAAGAACTGTATGATATTCCTTCTCGTCGAACTCGAAACTCTCAGTGGCTGATCTTGGATATGACCCCTAGCCATGGAGATCTGCGATTTCACGGAAAACCATTACATAAGACGTTAAAGAAATCTTTCTCTTAACCTAACCGAAATGAAACTACTGCAACTACTTCCAAGGTTAGAATTCAGAACGTGCCTTCAATGTTTCAACCTTTAATCGTTAATGTTCTCGAGTCTCCAAGTTTCCTCCTTTTCTTGGTATTTTTGTCACAACAAATGTTCCTCCATATGGATGTTATCCTTCAACACATAACGTCGTGAAATACCAAATATTCCTCCAATTTACCTAGGGACCAACATTACTTTTACTACATGTGGATGTTAGTAAAATACCAAATATGCATATTATTTTGACTGTTGAATTTGAATTTCAACAGTACATCGTTTTTACCATTAGATTTGATAAAAACAAATATTGATCATTCATTCAATTTCAAAGGATTGCCCCAAAAAAAGAGTTTGATTTGGACCGTTGACAACGAACGGTCCAAAATTCGAAAAGCCACATTTACTGAGTTCCCTACCGCGTGGGGCATAGTTGTCGGCCACTAACTCTTAGATCAGCCAAATTTGAACCCAAATTTTCAGGTATGAGTCTTAGCTTTGGGTGGCAAATTTTTGTGTTTAAACCAAAATATTTGGTTTTGATTCTAAGGATTGGAGTTAGTCTAATAAATCAAAACTTAATTCTTTGAAAAAGAGATCCGTGGGACCATAATTTTCATCTCTCCAGAGTAGTGTTATAACAGGTCCACATCTTAGTCCTAATAGACGTCAAAGGAGAGGGGAAAAGAAGAAAAGAAAGAAGGTAAAAGGAGAGGGAAAAGAAGAAAAGAAGAAAAGAAAGAAGGGAAAATGAGAGGGAAGCTTATCAGAGTAGAGGAAAAGAGGGAAAAAGCAAAGAAAAGGAAAGTCACCTCCATCATTATATCCACCAACTGGTTACCCATTTTCTTGCAAATGGGAGTGTGAGACCGAAAAAGAAGAAGAAAAAAAAAACACATGGCAAAACATCCAGAAAATATACAAATATGCCAAAGAGCAAATTGCTCCCATTTTCCCTTGTCTCCTACAATATTGTAAATTACATTTCGTATAATGAGAAACCAGTATTGCTACTCCGAGGACAAGGGCATAACTTGCCAAACTTCGTAAGTATAATATCTCATATACATTTCTCACCACTTTATATAGTTCGTATATATGTGCAACATATGTTCCAACAAGATCCTTAACATGTAGCTCAAACATTAATATAAGAAAAATGTTTACAAAATGTACTTGTG